CCTAGGAAAGAGATCAGGAGTCATAGATTCAAGCATCACCAACAGAATACAAGAGACAGAAGAGAGAATCTCAGGTGCAGAAGATACCATAGAAAATATTGACACAACTGTCAAAGAAAACACGAAATGCAGAGTTCTTAACACAAAACATCCAGGAAATCCAGGACACAATGAAAAGACCAAACCTAAGGATAATAGGTATAGAAGAGAGTGAAGATTCCCAACTTAAAGGGCCAATGAATATCTTCAACAAAATTATAGAAGAAAACTTCCCTAACCTAAAGAACGAGATGCCCATAAACATACAAGAAGCCCACAGAACGCCAAATAGACTAGACCAGAAAAGAAATACTTCCCATCACATAATAATCAAAACAACAAATGTACAAAAAAAGAATATTAAATGTAGTAAGGGAAAAAGGCCAAGTAATATATAAAGGCAGACCTATCAGAATTACACCAGTCTTCTCACCAGAGACTATAAAAGCCAGAAGAGCCTGGACTGACATCATACAGACCCTAAGAGAACACAAATGCCAGCCCAGACTACTATACACAGCAAAAGTAAATATAGGAACCCGTCTCAGTGACAAAGACAGACACTACCTTAGAGTAAAAGGCTGGAAAACAATTTTTCAAGCAAATGGTTCTGTTAGGAGCCGCGTCCGCCATCGCAAGATGGCGCCGGTTTCCTGCTTCCTGGTTCTTCTTGCGAGCCTTGCTTGAATGTGCGCCTGCGCAAGGCGCGAAAACCAGTATGCTAATTTGGCGACATCATAAGAGCCAATGAGTGTGTGGCACATCTCCTAAAGCTCTATATAAGCCACAAGGTTTTGGGGCTTGGGGTCCCTCGCCTCACTACCATCTAAGAGAGCTGTAACACTACCATCTAAGAGAGCTGTAACACTAAAAGAGCTGAACAATAAAAATGCTGTCAGAAGAATCCTGAGTGTGGCGTTCTCCTTTTCGGTGAGGCGGCGCCCCGCATGGTTCTATGAAACAAGTTGGAGTAGCCATTCTAAAACCTCCAGCCTGAGAACACAACAAGAAGGCCTCATGGCTCCACCTGTATAGGTAGTTGAGGGTGGCCTTGTCAGGCATCAGTGGATGTGAGGGCCTTGGTGCCTGAAAGTTTGGATTCCCTAGTGTTGGGGAATTCGAGAGCAGGGAGGTGGGAATGGGAGGATGGTGGGAGCACGGTGGGAGCACACCCTCATAGAAATTCCCAGAATTATATGCATTAGACAAGACAGAGGTAGGCTGCCAGAAGACTAGATTTCAGAATTCAAACAAAAAGTTATCTTGATACTAAAATTTGTTTAGAGATTTGTATATTGCAGAATACACAGCCTTGTATCTACTCATCAAGCAAGCTGAGCAGACCTGCTCGAACCTCTGATGTCCTGGAATTTCAGCTGGATGCAATGAAGACACAGACGTCAGAGGCTTATCAATTTACTCTTGCCCCACCCCTTTTCTAATATCTCAACGCCTGTAACCAGCTTGAAGAAGTTAATGAAGAGTCAGCACCCTATTCCCTGAGCTTGGGTACTGTGGTGGTTAATATTGGGCTATCTTTCTAGGGAAAAGTAGTGATTTTGTTGGAACAGGGTGGAATAGCTAGGATTTATTGCATAGCCATAACCTATTGGTAGAAATCTGTATAATTGTTATTAAGCTGAAGTTATAATTTCTTAAATGGTACAAAATTTACTTTGATTTCAAATTCAAGGTTTTCATTGGTACGAATTTCTTATTGATATAAAAGTGAGATTAATATTGTTACTCTCATAGCCATTGTGCCTATATAACACATTTAGGAATACAAGGCTTAAACCCAGTTCTTCTTTAACTAACTGATTCAAGATAGTTAGCCTGAGAATTAAGAGCCTATAGCAAATTCATGGCTCTGAGTTTATTGTTAGGGTGTTTTCTATATTTTATTTAGAAATAGCTGATAGGAGTTAACAGACAACAGTTCAGATTGTCTTACATGGATAGTTGGTTTTCAAAACGTCAGAAGTCCACAGAATTGACGTTACAAACAATTCTGTATTAATGTTCATTTTGATTAGAGACTTGTCTACTCCTGACAGCTTCCTGTCTTGGATTCTAAGAAGAAATTGAGCATCTTTGTAGTTACTCCAGTTGTGGTGAGACAGCCACTAGTCAAGAATTGCCTCTTTTCATCTACAGACAAATTACTGTCCAGAAAAGGACACACTTGCGGAATAGTAGACTGATTTTTATCTGCCATGACAGAGTAATTAGCCCTTAATAATTCTGCATCACTAGGTCTGTCAGGTGATCCTGGGCCAGAAGGCTGAAGATGTGATGCTCCAACGTTTTGTAGGATAGGGACTGTCCAGGTGTTCAGCAGTCTCTATAAATTGGCTAAGTTTTAGACGCTATGCTTTGTGCTTCCCATAATTTCAGTTAATTCAGTCATTCTGGATTTCTGATGGGGTTGAAGACTTATAGTCTCATAGCCAACCCCGGCTATTTACTTTGAGAGAAAAGATTTGAGAGGATGGTTTTCAGCTGACATTCTTTCTAAAGCCAAGAGTAAAGCCAGGTTCAGAACTAAGTCTTTTAGTTAGGAGAGATGACAGAGGTTCTGGTTAGTCAACAAAATGTTGTACTGGGTGTTAGGTCTTTCTTGTACCTTACTGATACAAATTGGTATAGTTATACTCTAATTGTATTTTGAGAGAAAAGTTTTAACAGGAAGGGTGATATGTAGGAGGAGCTAAGGTGGGAGGAGTAAGGAGAGGAAGAAGAGGAGTAAGGAGAGGAGGAAGAGAAGGAGAGGAGGAGCTAAGAGACAAGGGGGGGGACATGGAGGCAGATGTTTTCGTTGTCTCCACCAGTCAAAGATAGTTGGTATATCTAGGTTGAGTATTGGGTTACACTTCTGATTGTATGGGCATCTTGTTATTGAGCATTAGCAAACTTATAAAGCCTTTGATTAACAATTTTTTTTTAAAAGAGGGAGGATGATGGAATACATGTGACAGGAAATCAGATGAGGAAACTAGCTGGAGAAAGAAAGGGAAAGGGCAGAGGGAAACTCAGAACTCTAATGACACATGTATGAGGATGCTTTAATAAAATCCAGTACTTTGTATGTTAACTTAAAATACTAATAAAGAAAACAAAAGCAAGGAGGGGGGATAGGATAGGGGGTTTCTGGGAGAAGGATGGACAAAGGGCATGACATCTGAAATGTAAATAAATAAAATATCCAATAAAAAAATACAATACCAAACAAGACCAAAAAAAATTATTTTCTGGCCAAAGTGAAAACAAATCACTATGAAAAGGTATTCCTAGAGGTGAAAAACAAAAACACAAGTGGGTATTTTAACCATTCCACCACTCTTTTAATGTACTCTCTGTATTTAGTCTTCGAGAAGGGGGCAGGTGGGTGAGGATGGGAGGGCAGCGAGGAACAGAAAATAAGTGGTGGAATTTTTAAAAATGAGACCTTAATGGCGTGGAACTGAGGTCGCCGGCCACCCTCCCCGTGCATTCACACACCGCGTTTGGATGCTCTCCCTTCCCCTGATTGTGCCTGTAACCTAATCGTTAGTCAGGTACTTTCACTTAGAGACCGATTTCACCTGCTTTCATAGCTCCCTGTGCTACTTTAGTTTTTTTTGGGTGCCTGAGGAGGTCGGCCCGCCCAAGTCCAGCCCTCGTTCGCTCTGTTCGGGCGGGACACCAGGGACCGTTTGTGCCACTCGGGGGAGTGGTGGGTCCTCTGCTCCGTCGTGCGTGGGTGAGTGTTCCCCTGAGCTAGGGAGGACCCTCCGGAGGAGAGATGGAGTGAGCGAGTGCAGCGGCCAGGAGCGATCTGAGTTTGCTTGGTTGATTGAGACCGTTCTCTGGTGACACCTAGTGGTGACAAGTTTCTGCAACGCTGCTGTTCCCCGGTTGAATACAAAGGACGGGGAAGTGGCTGTCGCGAGCGGGCCAGGGTGACGGGAGGCCCGGGGAGCAGGCGGGTGCGTCCCGGAGGTGGCCACGTGTTTAAGTACCGGTCCGGTTAGCCGCAGTGAGCGAGGACCGCCGCCAAGTATTCAGGACCCCGTCGCTCGATATTACGTCACATTCAACGCAGACACCCACGGCCAGCGGCCAGGGCTCACGCAGGCTGTCGCGGGTCTATGACGTCAAATCCCGAGTTCTCGCTTAAATTATGTAAATAACTTAAGGTACTTGTCCGAGTCCGCGTGCTGGGGGCGTGGCCTGTGCTCAAGGGGCGTGGCTTGAGCGGACAGGGCGGTAGCCTGGGTGGACGAGGCGTGGTCTGAAGCACTGTGGTCCTTGTCATTTGAGGTAGGAGCCCAAGGGGGCGTGGTTGGCTCTGTGGGCACGGTTTCTATGTGAGGCAGGGGGATGACCGCCAGTGGGGCAAGAGGAAGGTCGCGAGTGGCCGCGAGGGATTGGGGTGAGGCAGGGGGATGACCGAGAGTTCCCCCAGGCCTTGTTTGAAGGTCGCCCCGGGGGAGGTCGGGACTTCCGGTTTCGACCCCGGCCGCCATTTTTGATTCTCCGACCGCGCATGCGCCCGTAGGGGCGGGGCCTGGCCGCCATTTAGTTTCCCCTCCCCCTCCCCCCCCCCCCCCCCGTGTCCACAGCACGTGCGCGGCCGGAATGGGCGGGTTTTGGGTGTAACCCGAAAGCGGCGGTAAAGACGCGATTCCCGTCACGGCCGCCGCCTGTGCTGCGCTCCCGGCGACCCCGCTGTGACCCTACGGGGAGCCTGGTGATCCCGGTGACGTCACCCGTGACCCTGCAGCGGCCGTGACCCTAGTGACGTCATCCATGACCGGCTCTGGAGACCCCGCTCGCCGCAGTGACCGCATCTGTGACCCCGCGACCTCTCCACGACCCCACTGACGTCATGGGCGACCACGGCGAAGTCACCCGCGGAGGGCCCGCCCCGCGCACGGCGCTGGCCCCGCCCGCTCCGCGCCTGCGCGGCTTCCGTGTGATCCTGGCGAGCGCGTCGCCGCGGCGTCGGGAGATCCTCGGGCTCGCGGTGAGGGGGGCGGTCCTCCGCGAGGTCACTTCCGGGTCGGGGCGGGCCTTTCTTGACTGACAGATGGGCGTGTCTCTGTGTGACTGACAACTGTAGTCCAGGCTATCACACATCTGGTTGCTTGCAGCTCAGGCTGCCCCCGCTCCTCCCTCACCTCGCTGTAGCCCAGGCTGGCCCATGCCCTGGTCCTCACAGCACAGCCTGTAGCCTAGGATGTCCCATTTCCTCACCCCCACCCCCTGCACTTAGCCTAGGCTAATCCTGGATGTCTCTCCACACATCCCCCGCTGTCGTGCAACTTTCTCCATTAGTCCTGGCTACCCCACGACTCAACAGGCATAGCCCCGGCTGTGCCACTTCTCCAATCCCCGTTGCCCAGGCTGGGCATCGTGTTTCTCGGCTGGCACAGGCTGTCTTCAAGTCTGCTTCTCTGTAGCCGAGGCTGCCCCGGGTTTCCTGTCACAGCCGCTCAGACGCTGTGCTGGGCTTTGTTTTTTTTTTTCAGTAGCCCATGCTGTACTGCTTCTCTGCCTGCGTAGCCAAGGCTATGTAGGTTTTTTTTTTTTCAGAGAACGATCCGTTGTCGGGTTTGTGATGTAGCCCAGGCTGCCTTGCGTTCCTCCCTGCACAGCCCAAATGATCCTGACTCCCTGTCTCTCTCCATCAGCCCAGGCTATCCCACTTCTCCACACACGGCACACCGTCTGCGGGTGTCTCCTGCGGGTGATCGACAGGCATCGAGAGGTGGGACAGCCCAGGGCTACTGGGAGGAAGGCGTGGGATAGCCTAGGCTAATGTGGAGAGACACCTGGTACTGCTTAGGCCATGCAGAGGGGGAAATGGGACAGCCTGGGCTATGGGGACAGAGTCGTGGGGCAGCCTGGGCTAAGGGAAGTGATGACGCAGCCAGCCTTGCCTGCAAAGAGCGAGACTGGGGCAGCCTGGGCTATGTAGCCACGTCAGTCACGTCCATAGCCTGTACCTTCTTCCCCATAGCCCAGGCTGTCCCCGTCCTCACTCCACGTGACCCGGGCCGTCCATGTAGTCCAGGCTGTCCCCAGTTTAATCTCGACTCAGCCCAGCGTATCCTCCATTTTCATCCAAGTAGCCGAGGTTGCCCCACATAGTGAAGTCAGACTCATGTCGTCTCTGTCCACATAGCCCAGGCCATCTCACCCTGTCAGGCCAGGTACGCGCCAACCGACTGAGCCCCGCCCCACCCCCAGGGCGTGTCCTTCGAGGTCATCCCGTCTGCCTTTGAGGAGTCGCTCAGCAAGGCCGCGCTGCCCCGGGCCCAAGACTACGCGCGTGAGACGGCGAGGGGAAAGGCGCTGGAGGTGGCGGCCCGCGTGTTCCAGGTCGGGGCGGGACGTGGGGTGAGGGGTGGAGCCTCTGGTGGGGGCGGGGTCGCAGGGTTTAAAAATAATTTTGTTTTTATTTACATGAGCAACTACTAAGGAGTTGGTGGGGATGGCGGGGGCGGGGCCTGGCACAATTGGCAGGTGATGTCATCCCCTCCCCCGACTTGGAGCCCTGTCCCAGCCCAGGCGGTGATGTAAGAGGGGAGGGTTAACACAGGAAGTGACATCATCCCCGCCCCCAGGACGACCCCGAGACCCCGTACATCGTCATCGGAGCCGACACCGTCGTGGTGAGTTGACCCCGGCACACAGTAGGCCCGCAGCACAGGGCAGGCACACACAACACCCCCTCCCTGCTCCCCTGCAGGCCGTGGACGGGCTGATCCTGGAGAAGCCGGCCGACCAGGAGGACGCCATGCAGATGCTGCGCAGGTGGGCGGACCCTCCCGGGGGCGGGGCTGACCCCACGTAATCCCCGCCCTGACCCCGCCCCTGACCCCCAGGCTGAGCGGGAAGGAGCACGGAGTCATCACGGGCGTCACCATCGTTGTAAGGCGCCGTGGAGCAGGTGAGCGGGGCTTCGGGTGATATCATACATGGGCGGAGCTTCTGGGTCATAGGAAGTCAGGGGTCAAAGAATGTGGGTGTGGCCAGGGGGACCAAGACGTGATCTCGGGGGGCGTGGCTTGGTCCTAGGACCCAGAAAGTGATGTCATTTGCAAAACAGGAAGTGAGGTAAAGGATTGTGGGCATGGCCTCTGGATTTGCTTTCGGGGGCGTGGCCTCAGTGGGCTTTTGGGCGGGGCTTTGAGTTCCCAGGAGGTTATGGACCACACGTGTGAAGTCTGGTGGGCGAGGTCGGAGGTTACGGTGACCCCCAGATGACCCTGGCCCTGTCCCTGGCTGATCTTGTCCCCGGCTGACCCCGCCCCCAGGCCCCGCCCAGGAAGTGCTTGCCTTCCACGAGGAGACACGTGTGACTTTCTCACCGCTGTCCTACGACCTCCTTCGAGAGTACGTGGAGACCGGCGAGCCCATGTGAGCTGTGGCCCCGCCCACGACCCCTGGCCATGCCCACAATCCCGCCTAGTGATGCCTGGACTCCGCCCACAGCCCCTGAATGCACCCACAATCTCTGACCATGCCCAGTACCCCATGACACCTACCCTGACCCTGTGACCCCACGCCCCGCCTACAGGGACAAGGCTGGGGCGTATGCGCTGCAGGCACGGGGAGCGATGCTGGCCGAGCATGTGTGCGGTGACGTCCTCAATGCTGCAGGATTCCCACTCAACCGCGTGTGCCGCGAGCTCGCAGGGCTGCTGCCTCCTGTGCCGGGGCAGGAAGTGACGGTTTCAGAAACCGGAAGTGACTTGGGGGACTAGAAGTGATGTCACTGGCCAGGAAGTGACATCAGACAGGGAGTGAGGCCATCACAAGGGAAGGAAGTGATGTCATTGTATGAGAAGTGACATTGATGGGGCCTGGAAGTGGTATCATCACAGACAGGAAGTGATGTGTATCTGATTTGTGTTTGCAAGGCATTTCTATAAGAAAAAGGAGAAGGAAACAATGCCTTAAACGATTATTTGATTTTTGCCTCGATTAGAGCTGTGCTGTGGAACTGCCCCTCAGTATAGTCTCATAATATTTAGATGTTGCACATTGAATAGTGATAAACATGTATCCATAACCTTCTAATAAGCAAATTCTCCTTGATAAAGTTGATGATACTCATATTCTTGTGGTGAAGTTTTTCAGTTTATGGCGAGGTCAGTTTATGAGAGTCAAGAATGTTGTCGTAGAGAAACACTAATCATGACTATGATGAACAAAAAGTCAATGTGTGTGCATTCAATGTGGAAACCTTTCATTTGTTTTTTTAATGGGTATATCAATTGTCAGAATGGATGAAACCGTGTGAGCATAGGGATATTAAAAGGAACAACGTACCTCTATCTATTTCAGAACAATGAGAATATATGTAGTACCTCCCTCCTTATTTTAGGAAATTTTTCTTCTAAGATTTTGTCATCAATATTTCCTGAGAATTTGATCTCATATTCTCCTTCTTCTATTCCTACTATCCTTATATTTTATCTTTTCACAATGTCCTGGATTTTCTGGATATTTTATGTCAGGAAGTTTTAGATTTAACATTTTCTTTGTGTGATATAACCATCCCTTCTATTGTATCTTCAAAGCTTGAGATTTGTCTTCCATCCTTGTACTCTGTTTGTGAAACTTGCCTCCATAGTTCCTTTTTGCAGTCCTAAAGTTTTGTTTCCATTATTCCCTCAGTTTGTGCTTTCATTATTGTTTCTATTTCCACTTTTAGGTATTCAACAGTTTTGTTTACTTCTACTCTTGGTTTGTTTTTCTTGGCTTTATTTATAAGATTTGTTGGTTTCCTCCACTTTTTTGTTTGTGTTTTCCTGGCTGTCTTTGAGGTATTTATTGATTTCCTCCAATTGTTTGTGTTTTCTTGGATTTCTTTAAGTCATTTAGTCATTTCCACTTTAAGGGCCTCTATCATCTTCATACAGTTGGCTTCAAAGCTATTTTCTTGTACTTCAGCCATGTTGGAATATTTAAGACCTTCTTTGGCAATATAAATGGACTCACAGTCATTAACCAGAGGGTGAAAAATGTTAGTCCTTATTACATAATCAAGTACCAACATCATGGAATCGAATGTGGCTATAACTTCTGGAAGTGAAAAGGTCTATTTTATGTCACTGTACTTGATATACAATAGTCTGTTTCCACACAATGAAATTTATGGTGGGATCCACCATAGGCTCCATGATAGATTCTATGAAGTATTCAGCTTATATTTAACCCAATGTTTGATTAATGCCATTGTTGTTTTTTCTTTTTAAATTGGGCAAGGAGGCAAGTGAAGCACTTTTTAAATAAGTTACTTTTGTTGAGATGATGGTTTTAATAACATCGCTTGCAATCACTAACCCTGGAGTCACCATTACAAAAAAAAAAAAAAAGATCTGATGGTGACGTTGTAATAATTTCCTAATTTGCAGAGTGTATTTATTCATGTCAGGTGAATGAAGATAGCCTAGATTGATAAGTATTTAATTTGGGAACTTTAGTATAACCCAAGGAATATTAAATTTCCAACTTTGGAGATATGTCCAATGCACTTTCAGAGTTAAGTCAGGTCAGATGATTGAGACACAGGCCATTGGCTGTAGCTGTGTGTTTCATGTTACAGAGCACAGAAGCTAACATTGCACATAGCAGCCAGGTCAAAGAGTACTGCATTAATGCCACTTTCTCTGCCAGGAAACCATCTACTCTTTTTCAAACTCAATGTAGATATATATTTTTTGTTCACAGGAATGTTGTCTGTAGCTGAGGCTTGCCTCTTTGTATGTAATTGAGAATTGCTTTGAGCACCGAATCCTTTCTCTGCTGCTCAGTACTGGAAAGAGTGTCTTGCAACTCTTCCAGACTGGTCCTTGACTGGTCAGCGCAAAACAAAATATAACAAAAATATAACACTGAGTGTGTTTCCTCTGGCTTTTCTTGGGTCTTTAAATGAAGAGGGACAAAAAAAAAAAAATGAAGAGGGACTGTGTGTATAACAGTATTGGGAAAACAAGGAGAATCAATAGTAAAATATTAAAATAATTCTCTATGTGGGAAAATAAAGTTTAGCTTTTGGGTTTTCTATTTGCATCTGTATTTCATCATTTTCTGTGTCATTAACTTAGTTAGAAGGGATCTTGATCATCTGTGTCTTCCATAAAATATGATATTAGTGCTCTAAAGTGCACATTATGTAGAATTGACCTAGGACACATGAGTTGCCAACCAAATTGAACTCATTGCAAACCCATAAGGGCAGCAGAGGACAGAAAATAAATCCAACCAAAATTTAGTAGTCTTTTAATTGAGTGAAATGCTTAGGAATTTAGTGCTGTAGTGTATTTAGAGATACTAGTTCTAAGGTGAAAGATAAGTCAGTACACCTGGCCAATCCCACTGCAAAGAGAGAAGCACAACATTTACTGGGCTGATTAGGATTCTGGAGACAGCACACTCCTCACTTGGGTGTGTTACACCAGCCAGTATACCAAGTAGCTCAGAAAGCTGCAAGCTTTCTGTTGGGGGCCAAAAACAGAAGTAGACTCTGTAACAGGACCAGGCTGCTGTGCAGGCTGTTCCACCAGTTTCATGGTTAGATAGGAATGTTGTTTGGAGCCTTTGGCAGGTGTTTATTGTGAATCATAGATTCTGAATATTGGAGCAAGGCTCTACCATCAACTCTATCCAACTATTTTTTCTTGAAAAGAAATATCTTGGCTTGCTATTCCATCTTAGTAGAAATTGAACATGTTGTGCCAGAGAAACATTAGTGATCTCCAAAAGACACACACAGGAACCGATCTGATGCAACTCACAGTAGGGTCTTTATTCTATTTGAGCTAACTTACCCCATCCCCAATGTATCAGCATCAGTCAAGACTGTTTTAGTGGTGATGGAGCCCCAAATGTCTATCAGGGAAAGGCTTTATTGTAAGCAGCAAGCAGGGCATATATATGCAAGCATCTAATTGGAAAGCTGCTGTGGCCTTTAACATAATTGGCTAGTACTGGGAGTCACATCATAAACTTAACTTCACCACCCCTCTGCATTAGTGGTTGTTACGCATGAGGTTGTAACCTGAGGTGCAGGTTTGTTGAGGCAATAACCTGGAGACACTGGTATTGCTGAGTGTGTAACTTGGAAACTCTAGTCTTGTTTGGGATTAGCCTAGAGAGTGGAGCTAGGCTTGGGTTTTGTTGGGGGGCAACTTGGAAGCGAATGCTAGGTACCTGACTTGCCTAGAAGCCTATAGTTTCTATTCCTGTACAATGCCCCTGGTATTATGCATGCCCCTAGAACTTCCTGGTATAGGCCCTATCATAAAATGACTGAGAAGGAAATAACTAGGTTCTGCTTTACTAAGGGTTCTGCCTGTTATGCAGACTCCATCAAGAAGTGAACAACTGCAGCATGAAAACGTGTTTCTGGAACAATCCTGAAAGACACCAGTAAAGGAAAATCATCACAGTTCAGAGCTTCATGCAGTAGTCATGCTCATGCTCATACATGTATTTGGAAATGTGTGATTATTCACTGAATCATCAGCTACAAACTTAAATGTCAGAGACTTCGAAACAGAATGATTAGAATATTGTTGAGAAAGACATAAAAGGAAGAACTATGTGGACAGATCTCTCAAAATGGTCAAAGGATGTAAAGTACTTAGGTCCCATGTAAATATTGATCAAAAGGTAAGTTCAGCTGAGCATACATTCAGTAATCAAGTAGGTAGGATGACCTGTTTTGTGGGAAGTCAGCTGTGTCCCCAGCTATATCTGTCATTTTCCAATGGGATCATGAACATAGTGGCCATCCTGGATGCAGTGGGGTTTATGCATGGGTACAACAGTAGAGTAGTCCTCTCACCAAGCCTGACATGGCCACATCTGCTGGTGAGTGCCAGATCTACCAGCAGCAGAGACTAACACTGAGCCCTAGATATGGAACTATATCCTGGATTGATGAGCCAGTGACTTGGTGGCAGATTGACTACATTAGATCATTTCTCTTGGGTAAAAGACAAAGCTTTCTTCTTCCTGGAATCAATGTGTATTCTGCTTATGATTTTGACTTTCATGCACATATCACTTCTGCCAAATCCACTATCCATGGACATACTGAGTGCCTCATTCACCACAATGGCATTCCAAACAGTATTGCTTCTGACCAAGGAACTCATTTTACATCAGAGAAATGAGACAGTGGGCCAATCATTGTGGAATTCAATGGTACTAATTACCATTAATACCATATTCCTTGTTGCCCTGAAGGTGCTGAACTGATAGCAAAACAGAATGACCTTTAGAAAACACTTTTATACAGTCAATTATGGGACAGCCACCTGGAGAGCTGGGCAGAGTCCTAGGCTGTATGTATTTTGAATCAGCATCCCGTATTTGCTACGGTTCCTCTCATAGCCAATATTGATGATTTCACGAATCAAGGTTTTGGAAAACCTGTGTGAAGGTCGCAGTCCACAAATCTGAGTGGAACTCAGCTCAAAATGCAGGGCTCCCTTTATCAGAAGGGCTTCCATTTCTCTGCCTCAATTTTTCTAGACAATGTCCCTGAACACAGGTGGCTGTCCTTATCAAAAGAATGTCCCTGTGTGGAGCTACTTAAACTCAGCACACAAGTTCCATTCTGGCTTCCCTGCCCACATGATAATTAGATATATTATTATGACCAATTGATTCTTTCCACCTGTACCCATAAAAACTCTCATATACCTTATTTCTGGAACAATAAAGTAGAATTGACTCACTGTGCTGGTCTCTGGAGTTAATTTTATAATACAGCAATCTAAAGCCAGATTTCCATGGCTGTTCCCTTTGTCCTCTCTGGTGGCTAACAACCATCCAAGAATAAAGAAGACCCACACCAAAGCTATCACCCTTAGTGGCCCAGTAGGAAAAAATTGCTTCCTATTCCTCTGATCTTAAGTTCTGTTGGCCTGCAAGTATTAGTTATAGAGAGGTGAGCTCTCCTTCTAGGAATTACAACAAACCTTCAGTCTTCCCGGTGGCCAATTTGGGCATCTAAGGCCCTTAACCCAACAAGATAAGAAAGCAATAACAGTGTTAGAAAAACTGATTTTCTCTTTGATTGGGAGTGATCCAGGACACTTGGTTGGAAGGATAAAAGTCAAGTGTAGTATTGGCAGGAAAGATGTATTCTCCATTAAGAAAATTTATTGCAGTGTCAGAGGATACACATGACAGCTACAAGCCTCTTTAACTCAAATTCTGGAGAATCTGATGCCTGCTTCTGGCCTCTGTAGGAATTGTAGGCATGTGGTGCAAAGACATTCAGCAAGCTGAACACCCATGTATTATTAATTTTTCTTTTAAAATAAATGTTATAATTTTAATTGTTATGTTCCATATAAGTGCTAATTGTTATCCACCTTGCCAGTGTAACCCTAACCCTAACCCTGTGCACTGCTCCTCAGGGAACTCTTTTCTCTTGCACTCTTATTTAATTTAGAAAACATATTGATGGGTATGATAATCTGTAGAGTTTTTGTTTAATGTGGGCAAAGACCTGGTCTGATTCACAAGCAGTGTACAATGAGACTTAGTGCCCATGCTTATAACCCCAGCACCCAGGAGTTGGAGCAGAAAGAAAAGCATTTAAGAATATCTTTAGGCAGGACACAATGAATTTGAGATGAGCCTGGATCACAGTTTATCACTAATTGCATGTAGTGAGAACAGCGTATAGGCCTTTCCCGGCATCAAATGGTAACACTTGTCAGATGGCTTCTCTATGGTCTTCTCTTTTTCTTCTTCTTCTCTTTCTTCTTCTTCTTCTTCTTCTTCTTCTTCTTCTTCTTCTTCTTCTT